AGATATGGTCTTGTTTAGGGATCTGTGCCTTTGTGCATACGGACATCTGACTGCTAAGTAGTGATTGTGTTTTTCAACAATAGTGTGCACCCTTAATTTACAGAGAAAAGGTCAGGGAAAAATCTGTAGATGGAAAAATCTTTCTGCATTTTTCTACTTGCTACTTTGCACTTTTCCATGATCTAAATATTCTTAAAAATTAAAAGTTTGTTGTCATATGGAAGTGTGTAGGCCTTCTTGCATTTTTATGCTGTTACATTATGATTATATATTCAGTGGCATAAAATGGTCTTTAAAATGACAAATAATATCGCAATTATTTCTGGGGCAATATATCGCACAACAAAAAGTTGTTATCGTGACAGGCCTAAGCTGAACACAATATTGGTCTTCGGCAGATCTTGAATGTTAAATGTAATCTGATGTAACCTGACTAGAGATATATATATTCAGTGTTACAGTGACCAATTATCCCAAGCACTGTGTGAACGCTGAGAGAGACAGATATTGTACAGAACCCATGTGTAATAAATATTGCGTATTTTAAACAAATCTGACCCTGTTTTATTACTTGGTTAAGACCAAACAACAAATTTTAACTCCTAGTTAAACTACATCGAACACAAATCAAATGGATGTCTTTATCGCATCTTGCAGTATTTAATCTCCTAGTGCCTGAGAGTTGCATTTTTAAGCTTCTAATGAAACAAGTGAGGACTGAGAAGGTCATAAACTGTGAATGAATCAAGTGATGTCCATTATCATTGTTTATCCATATACAATATCAAAGAACAACAGATTTAAAAGAGAATTTCACAATGTTTATTAAATGCATTTGCACCAAAGTAGCTGTCTATTTGTCAACATTGTTGCCACTTCTCCAGCAATGTTTTCTGCTTGTGCTTTGCTGCTGTAGCCAGCACTGCCAACTAGCGTTTTGTCTGTATACTTGTAGAACGATGCAGACACAAATACAGAGCTAGGAACACAAACAATCATGCTGTAGGTTAATCACAATGGGCCCTTTGACGTGAACCAAACTCAGATCACCTCCTGAAACAAAGTTTGTGTATCATGTACAAACTGAAAGCCACTCTGAAAACAGCCCACTTACACAAACACTTGTATTTTAGTAGACTATAAACAAAAGGAGAATGAAGAGCCCCTTTACTTTGAACCACACAGTGCATGCAGACCATATATTTAATTGCCAACATTTTGTGGTTTAATCAGATCTTGCAACAACGATTTTAATTCAATTAATTGCTCAGCCGTACTTAACACAAGTACAAGTCTCCAAAATAACACTTCTGTTATTCATTGACAGAAAATAGACAAAAAATAATGCACATACTTTCTGCAGACTTTAGCAACAAAAAAATTATAGACTGAATGTAAAAAATGAAATAATTAAAAAAAAAGACAAACAAGAGGATAACAAAATACAGAATTTCTAATTAGTCTGTAAGCTGAGAAAGCATCAACATCACACTTCAAGTCATGAAAAATGCTATTAGGGATGCTATTTCAACAATGTTATGTTACAGATAAAAAAGAAAAGAAAAGAAAAAGAAACCAGATGGAATGCATGAGAAAACAAATGCATTACAGAACACATAGTAAGTGTACTTACCAGTGAAAAGCATTGTAATGGAAGTAAACCAAACCAAGGCCATATAAAAAGGCAGCATTCTGGAAAAAAGAGAAGATGAGAATTAGAAACATTATGAGAAAGAACTATTCATCAATTCATCATAGTTGAATTAAACAGCAAATTGACTTTCTAATAAAGGATGGCACCGTACGTACGAGTAGGGATGGTTTACTCTCACAGCAGGTCTGACACATCTGCGCTCAGCAGGGGACAGAAACGTCTGCGGCTAATGAGCACGTGTTAAACTAAAAAGGTGCCAAAGTCTTCGCCTCCCGCAACCACAAAAGGTTATATTTACATAACAGAATGTGCAAGACAATATGGATCAATGAAACATTATCGTGTCTGAACCACTTATCTGTGCTCAGAGGCAAAGCATGACTCAAACTGAAAGTCACTGTGGCTTGTCTTCCCCACAAATGCACTTTCGTTAGATGATGAAACCAGATGGTTACTTGACGAAGTGAATAATTTAAGAATTAAACTAGGACTGGGCCGTATGGTAAAACAAATAAAAACCCCAGTCACCTTTTTTCATAGAGACAAGCGCTCATTGTTATCACTTTCAGTCAATAACAATTTATATTTCAGTCTGTTGCATTTTAACCAGAGTAGAACTACAGGAAAAATAGTGTAGATATAGTAATATAGTAGCATTTTTGTGTGACAGATATTTGAATTCAAAGTACACATTTTATCAGTTCATGCATTCCAATGCACTCAAATGACAAGACTGTCTTGAAAGTGCAAACCAGGTTTCACATTTTAGATGAATGCGGCTTTATTCAAATGTGATCACGAAGTCTACAATGACATGAGCTTTCAATGACCAGCATGACAGCACACGCTACTTATTTACAATCTAAAAAGGATGGCTGTCTCGCAAGACCTCGGACAGCAGTGTGAAGTAGGACAGGCGCAGAATAAAGAATGCCAGAGAAGCACTGACTGCAAAGCGCATGGTGCATCACTCTGACAGGCTGACAGTACTGCACAGGGGCCACTCATCACACCTGCACAAATCACACACAGCTGTCTGACTGCTGAGACAGCACCCTTTAACCCTTTCAGCACCGACACAAATTTAGAACATGCCCTCACTCTCAGAGCAAAAAAATAAATCCTACACAGGGAAAGGGGGAGGGGAGGGGTTACATAAGCTTTGCAGAAAATATGAAATCTTCAGCTTCCACAGCTGCAGTCTAAAATGTTTCCATTGGCAAATTTTCCATTCAGGCATCCAAACTAAATAGTGCCAATGCAAAAATGTTATTTATAGTTAGAAACTACCTAATAACTCACAAAAAACGTTTAGTCCATCTGTGCTGGAAATCAGTTTCTATTAGCCGTATGCTGAGGCTTAGCGCCTGATATGTGAGAGATGACACTTCTATAGTCGACAGCCGTATCTGCAGTCAAAAACACGGTGAGAGTTTACTCTGCTATGGAAATTTCACAGCCAAAAACATTATTCTTGCTCAAGGAGAGCACAGTGTCTGGAACCCAGAACTGTCAGAGGCCATTACTGACACTCCCACAGTATCTCATTTCACATTTAAAAACTCTCTAACAGACAGCTACACCTAGCCAGACACATCAAACTGAATTGCTTTCACTAATAATGGACACCTGGAATTACATCTGTTACAGGCGATCCAAACACAAGTAGCCATACTGCAAATGGTCCATTGAGTCTTGTGCATGTACATTTGCTTAGTTCTTAATGTATCATTATTGCTTAGCAGACTTTAATCATTGCGTCAAAACAAGGGTTTTAAACTTACACCACCTTTTGATATTGTCTGTAGGCGCGTTTCCATTACCCTTCAAATTGCGCAAATTGAAATTGTGAATTGAAAATACGCCTAATGGAAACACGTCAATTTCGCAAAAACGCCCATATATCGCAAAAAAGCTTTTACGCTCGCATGAGGTGGTTTTTCAGGCAATGCGAAAAAGTAATAATTCGCAAAACTGCAATGGAAACGGCTTTTTCGAATTTACAGGTCACATGGCGTATGTAAAAAGTCATATGATCATTCTTCGATGTACTATAACCTCCAAGAAACACATCATACGTGGCCGCTCTCCAGTATAAGGGGCTTTCCTACCATTAATGCTTAGACAATTTACACTGCACACGTCTGCGGTGCAGTGTGGCTCTGACACGGCCACTGAAGCTGATTGTGGCCACAATGCTTGTGTTTATTCCAGAATCCAGCTGCGCCACACACGTTTCTGAAGCGGCTCTCAGTGATGCTTCTGTAAAGATACACGCATACTCCTCCTTTGAATAAATATAGCCAAAATCCGTCAAAATCCCACCAAAATCCGTTGCCATGACTTATCGCGAGAGGCAAAAGGTTACGTTTTAGTCGCATAACATTGGTTAATGGAAACGACATCATTTTGCAATACTTTATCGACATTTATAAAATATCGTCAAAGTTTTGCGCAAATCTGTAATGGAAACGCGCCTTGTGATGCTTTAGACCTGTTCCTGGAGATCTACCTACCTGCAGAGTTCAGTTCCAAACCTGCTTCAACACAACTGTCTGTGATTATAAAGTGTCCCTAAGGATTTTAATTGGCTGGTTCAGTTGTGTTTGATCAGGGTGGAGCTGAACTTTGCAGGAAGGTGGATCTCTAGGAACTGGATTGGCCACCACTGCATTAGACAAATGCAATGTTACCACATGCATCCACGACCACCTCTGAAAGTGGGTGTGATCTTAACACAATGAATTCCCAAAACACACTGGACCCTGTTAACACTTGCATTTAGCACTGTCTAGCCTACATGTCAGAATGGATTTAACAACAAGTGTAAATGGTGCAAGTGCACAATCAATAAGAATCAAGCAACTCTCACCTTCCAGTAGTCTGACTGTAAACTGTAGTATCTCTGGTATGCAGATAATGCTGAGAAGAAAACAAAAGAAACAGATTAAGACTGATTGTCACATTTTTAATGACAATAAAATAAATATTCCTTAAGTCAGAACTCACCTTTAGGATAATCTTCCAGTAAAAGGTTGAAGTGACCTAACTGGCAAAACACCTCTGGCTCCACTTTCCCTTCAGCTTTTAAGATGTAGACGTCATAGCAGCGAACAGCCTGTGAAGCAAACAGTGAATGTGAAACAAGTCAGAATGCCCACTTGGAGAAATCAATCAGTTTGTCTTGAACTTGGTAAATAATTTTCCAGGAAAAAACCATTGTGACCGTTACATATATTTTTCAATCAACTTTTACCATTGTCATATTTACCATAAGATACTCCAAAGGTGCTGATATATGATGGAAAGAGATCTTCGTTTGATACTTCTAATGTATATAACCCATGTATAATCCATGTATCTCAGCACTCACCAAGCATTATGAAATATTTTGTACCCTAATGTCTGCATTATATAACATGTTGCCTAATTAAACAGCAGCCATACGCTACAGTTCAAAAGTTTGAGGTCAAATTTTCTTGAATGAAATTAATACTTTTATTTAGCAAGGACACATTAAATTGATCAAAAGTGACAGTAAGGGCATTTTTAACATCACAAAATATTCTTATTTTAAATAAACGTTGTTGTTTTGAACTTTCTATGCATCAAAAAAAACGTTTTATAGTTTCCACAAAAACATTGAAGAGCTCAACTGTTTTCAGCATTGATTATAACAAATGTATTTTCCATCAAATAAGCACAGCCCTGCTGAAAATAAGAGACTTCTTTCAAAAACATAATGCAAAGCAAACCCTATACTTTTGAACTTATATGCTTTATAAAACATGTTACATTTACTTAAATACATCTAACAATCTTAACTCCAAATTAAATGCGGCAAATGAATTACTAATGCACCATTAAAGATTTATTTTAACTGCTTTGTTAGAATGCTGGAGACAAAGCAACATTAAAGTACATAAAGAGGAGCCATCATTGTAAATATACTAATGCAGCATCCAATAACCAACCAGTAGTCTTGTTTGCTTGTCTCCTGTCAGGGCGCTTTAAAGCTCTGAAACACCTACAAGGTCAACCGAGTTGAAGGTCACAGAAAAAGTTAAATGCACTGGTAATTTTCTATGACAAAAGAAGTTCAGAACACGATTTTTATACAGAGATATTTACTCTGTATTCTTGTCTGTGTTTTGAATTATTTCACTTGGTGTGTTAAATTGATAAAACATGCAATAGGGCTGCAGATTCATGAAATTGCAACATATACAAGTTAAACATTCAGACTGACCAATGCAAACTTTGACGTATTGAATAATCGGTGCTTGTTTATGTGAGAACTCAGTTCATTTAAATAATAAACACAACATTGCAAATATCTTGCACAAACATCTTCTTTTAAGACAATATCTAGAAACCAAAATAACTTGAGAACATTTTAGCCAATAATATCAGTGCTAAACACATTAATAACGTGTTCTAATTAAACTTAAAATGAAGCGCTCATTTAACCGCTGCGTTCACAAGGTCTTTAAAGAGGTGCTGGCTGTATCTGGGACACTGAACGTTTTGACAGACACGGCTAGCTTGTGGGAAGAGTTGCACAGCAGCAGACAGACAGCACAACAGCACTGAGCGAAGTGATTGAGGAATGCACACGTCAATTTCTAAATTAATCGTCTCATTCTTGTCAGAACCACCACAGCCTCAAAATGTCTGGCCCATGGCAGAGATGGTAATTAAACATTCCACCTGTATATCTCCTAGGAAAAAAATCAAGAAGATTTAGAAAGGAAGAAAAAAAACATATCTGTCCACATGGAATTGTAGAAATGGACCTGCTGCAAAAGATTTCTTATGAAACATCACAGATATGACCACTGTTAGCGCCCTTTCACACCAAGTATAACCATAAAGATAACGGTAACTATATAGCATCCGCACCAATGCACAATAATGTTCTGTTTATTAGAACCCAGCACATTAAAGTGCAAAAAACTGCAATTTAAATGCTTAAGCTCCTTAAAGTCTGTTAGATTCTGTTAGGCCATCAATGTTTTTAGCATTCATCTGCTGGAAATAATCGTTCTGAACGTGATCTCAATTACATTGCTCTTGTGTTGTCATTATAGCTGTGGTGTGGACTTCCCTATTCTCAAAGTATTAAGGGCCATTCACAACAAGGACGATAACTAACTTTTAAGGTTTAAAAATAGTTGTGATTATATAAGAATAGCGAAGTCCACACCACAGCTATAACAATAAGGACACAGAGGAATGATAGCTTTGGAATCACTCTGATTGTATTTTTTTTCCCAACTGATGAACGATAAAAATTACTGACAACCAATCACAATCCACCCAACTTTAAAGAGCTTGAGCACTTAATGACGAAAAAACTATAGCTAGAGCTTATAATAAACAGAATATTATTGTCCATAGGTGTGGATGCAAATATAGCTGTCTAGTTATCTTTCTTGGTGTAATCAGGCCTATAGAATGATTTTTAAAACTATTACTTTTATAGTTATCGTTCTTGGTATGAACAGTCACTATTTTTTAAGATGCATCAATTATTTACGGCATTTCTTGTGGCCAATTAATATAAATGTCTATGAACAATAATTCCAACCTATTAATCTAATTATCTTACAGTATGGTTTTGTCTACAAGCTCACATCTACACTTTGGATTGAAAAAAAAAAAAAAACTAAGTGCATGGACTTTTATCATCTTTATCACTTTACTGCAGTTCATGTTTACTTCAAGGGTCCTGCAATATGACAATGAATTTTTTACAACACAAATGTTTCCCCTATGTTGTAAACAACAGCCATAATTATAAATAAAACATAAGTAGTTAAAACAAATCAAGTGGCACAAAATATACAGCACTGCAACAAACGCTGCTTGCAAATGCAACCTAGCAACTTGCTTGGCTATATAACAAACGAAGTACTCAAATCTGCAAAATGCAATGTTAAACCACACACAAGTTCTCGTAAGCAGCTTGATTACTTTACTGAAACCGTGAATGTTGCGATAGGACTGAAAAGAGCCCAGTAGCATTCAAATAACTCTCCTCACATGCAGTTAGAGTTAGCATAATGCTAACCAACTAACATGTAGCCACTGCCGGGCAAACCACTGGGATCAGAGCTTTTAACCTTCCCAGTTCATCTTGAAACACTACAACAGCCTACAGACTGGTCTAAGGTCGGCAAATAAATTCAATAATTCACAACTTTGGCCTAACCGAGTATGAACAGCTCGGCTAGCTAAACTTATACACTGGGAGGATTTATCATCAAACGACAGATGCACCTTGTGGCTCAATAAAAAGCTATTAAGACATTTCTCTATAATTAAGACCATTAATTCATTCAAACAACCTTCGCCTGTTTAACTGATATTCAAATGGTTGCAAACGAATAAAAACAACACCCTCATTACCCTCAACTCTTCATTACAGCGCCGCACTGACAATGGGTGAACGAGGTCATAATAGGCGAAAATGGCTTCATATAAAATAGCATTTCTTCTCAAAGTCTACCTGCGGTTTACATGCGCAAGACCTCGACAAAGCAAGCACCCAAACTAATATAACACTGTTTAATCACTTTCAAAGCAGACTAATATTTAAAATAATCACTGCAGGGAGCAACAACAGCAGATCCTCATCACTGACATGCATTGTGCATTTCATTTGTATAGCACTTTTCACTCACGATACTCAAAACAGTTTAACGAAAAGTCAATATTTACAATATCCTAATATCTCCATCGCATTTAGCAGATTAGAGCTTGGCGATCGTATAGTTTAAATTTGCGACGATAAACAATCACGCAGTTTTGCTATATAGTATTTATTGCTTTAAATCAGTATACTGTGTGTAAGCGAGTGAAGTTGGATGTACTAACTTTTACTATATCGTTTAAGTATATCATTAATAGTACAATATGAATTTAATACTGCGTATATAGTGTATTTTATAGAATGTATAAATATCTGTTTACAGCATTATAAAAGTGTAACGCACACTGCATTATTTTGTACAATGCAATGCTTGTCTGTGCACTGTGTACATATTCTGACTGTGTATTGCTGCTGATGAATAAAGTATATATTTATGTCCATACAGACTCCCTTAAGTGTCATTGCATACTGCGTCAATATAACGCATTTTTTCTTTTGTGCAACACGAGTATATTTGCAGAGTGATGTTATATGATTATCAGTTATGTGTCTGTCTGTCTCCAGACCTCCATCAGTGTCATACACTCATACCTTTAACAGCAAGGCCTTCGTTCTGGCGCCATCTTCATGAAGCCTCTGAAATCCAAATAGTGTGCTGCAAATAGAGGACAACACAGGCGGCTCCGTGTTACTTTACCTGCACCGCATTCATTTGCACCGCTTTAACATGCGGGGAACGCTCATAAAAATGCACGGAGGGTCATCGGTGCAAGTAAAGGGGCTTTAACTGACCTGTCTACGCTGGCTAAGCGCTCCCTTTCTTGCGGCGTAAGCTTCGGAAAGTCCTCCTCGGTTTCACTCGCTTTTCCCGCCGCCATTTTCTTTTCCTCATCACCACCATCACCAGCAGCAGCAGCGCGAGCTACAGCGGGCACTGACACTCCGCACGATTTCATAGACAAAAAACTCCAGCGAAAATATTTACGCACCGCAAGCCGAGCACCTTTTTGCGTAGATCTAAACGCAAAAAAAAAAGAATAGACGGAAAATAATTTCCTCTGAACACCCCCTTTTTCACATTGTCCTCGACATAAATGAGTCGCAGGTACACCAAAATGCATGCAGAATGAACAATGCAGGATTCAACGGTAAATTGTTATTAAGTAATATCTCAAACTTCCCCCTAGTCGCCAGTTCAAACTTGTTATAATTGTGTCACTCAAGCGAACCCACGCCGCCGCCGTCAGAACGCCTTCTCTGTGGTTTTGGCCAATGGCTGCTTTCGGTTGTGGACCACGTGATCGGCCTTGTCTTGTGATCCTTTTTTCATATAAACTTTCAAGGGGGAGGGTAAATAGCAAACCCCTCAACTTTACTCCGCATCTTCGCCTGCTGCGATTGGCTCAGCTGGATTTATTATGATTACGTAACACCAACATAAAACGCGTGATTGGTTCAAGCGTCTGTCTGTTTGAAAACTTAGGGTTTTTAGAGGATGTAAGGAAAACGTTGCCTGATTTCTACAATTATTATACAGTTAGAGTTGCATGAGTCAGTATGATTTTAATTCCTCCAGATTATGTGGTAAATATGGAATATGTGGTTAAGTGTAATACAAGGCAGATCAGAGCAAATATCTTCTTTCTTTCGTTCTTTCTTTTTTACACTAGTTGTTGGAGATATCTCTACATCTTTCAAAATGTTAAGCAAAGAAAAAGAAAAAAGAAAGGAATAATTCTTTCTTTATCTTCTTTTTACTCCCTTGCTTAACTATTATTATTATTAATGTTTGTTATACAGCTAGTGTTTCTTATATGAAATTAAGCCAGCTTCAGAGTTCAGACGGTATGTGTAAAGACCTCTGATACTGTGGGTAAACAATATTTAAAACACTTGAAACAATCTGCAAACTATTTTGTGAATAACACATAGAAGCGATCGTATGAGTCCGTGGACAGTGATATGGTGCGGAATACCAAAAATTCCAAAGAAGAAGAAGTGGACAGTGATCGCACGTAAATTACGCAGGATTTTGCGTAGAGCTGCGGCGGACGGCGGTGTGAACGGAGCCTCATAAAATGGCGGATCGCGGTGAAGGTAAATAAATTTGCCAACCAAACATTTGAATAAATAGTCTTGGTTGACAACGTGTTTCTTTAATCATAGAGGTTATATGCAATGAGATTCTAAGTGTTTTCAATGTAGTAGAGCAGCATAATAATCGATTATTATGTCGGCAGACTGTACAGATATCATGTGCTAAATCTCGGGAAATTACCTCATACTGTTTTAATCCTCATTCATGTCTTTGTAACTGCATGTCGGTGAATACATTCAAAATATCGTCTATAATGTCTTGCTCTCAGGTTCGATATTTCAGTATAAGGTGCGATAGTGAGGTTGGTGACCTTATTATCAGTGTTACACCTAATAAAAGGTTCATGCTTTGTTTTTTTATTCAGATCATAAAGAGGTTAATCTAAAATGTAAAATAATGTAAAACAGGTTGTCGACCTACAATTGGTTCTTGGGTGGATATACACGAATAATCTCAATACCAATTGTTTACCAATGCAAAACGTCCTCCTAATGAATTATATGAAGGTGTATTTTCACTTGCATCAAAGCTTTGTGATTACTTCATGTATAATAACAGTTACTTTTGTTTTCAGATGTAGATGCAGAGAGTGAAGATGAATTGTATGAGGTGGTTAACATCACAGATTATGCCAGGAGGCATCAATGGTGGAGTCGTGTTTTTGGGAACAGTACAGGACCCATTGCAGAAAAGTACTCTGTGGCTTCACAAATCATGATGGGTGGAGTGACAGGATGGTTAGTGTTAATATAGATTAAGAAACCTAAGCTATTTCATATGTGCTGTAGTCTTTGATTGGTCGACTTCAATTTTCTATTCTACATGTATGAAATAACTGCATAATAATACGTGCATTAATTGCTTAAAATCTCTGTCATCTAGGTGTGCTGGTTATCTTTTTCAGAGAGTTGGAAAAATTGTGGCTACTGCTGTTGGAGGGGGATTTCTTTTGCTACAAGTATGGATTATTAAAATGCTTGCATCATATGTCATAGCCATTGTTAAAGGAATAGTTTACTTAAAAATGAAAAATTGCTAAATGTTTACTCACTCTCAGGCCATCCATGTAGCCTAGATGTGCTTGGAGAAATTTAGCATTTCATCACTTGCTCACCAATGGATCCTATGTTGTTGACTGCCGTCAGAATGAGAGTTCAAACAGCTGATAAAACATCACAATAATCCACAACACGACTTTTAACTTCACATTTTTAACTTCAAGCAGATCCTTCTGGCTAAAATACAAGCCCTCTATCCATAATATTGCCTTCTCATTCTGACAGCACCCATTCACTGCAGAGAATCCATTGTTAAACAAATGATGTAATGCTAAATTTCTCCAAATATGTTCCAATGATTGTTTCTCAAACTCATTGGATGGCCTGAGGGTGAGTAAATTTTCAGCAAATTTTCAGTTTTGAGTGAACTATTTGAGTGAAATCTTACTTTTCTCATTTCAGATTGCCAACCACAGTGGCTATGTGCAGGTTGACTGGGGGAAAGTGGAAAAGGATGTCAATAAAGCTAAAAAGCATTTGAAGAAAAAGGCAAACAAAGCAGCCCCTGAGCTCAATTCCTTTATAGAAGAAGTGGGTATTCTTTCATACATTCATCATAACTTCATATAACAGTCTACTAGCTATTTTGCGCTCCCACAATTCTATAAAGCATTTTGTATTATTATTTAGTGTGTGCACAAAACACTTTAGAAAGTTGTTACTCTATCCTACATTCTGTAAGTGGTGTATTTTTCTTATACAGTCGACAGAATTTGTGAAGAGGAATATTGTTATCTCGGGTGGATTTGTTGGAGGATTTCTGCTGGGCCTGGCATCCTAAATGAAACCTGGATCTACTGTATTGCCACTGATATAAGTAGTTTGCACATTAATATTCTCCCTTATCTCTGTATCGCAGCGATACAACACTGAAACTTGATGTATTGTCTGAAGCAGTCAGTGCAATGGACGTTTGCTGAACTGTTGTTCTAAATATATTCCTCTAAAATGTTGTTTTTAACTGTACATAGCTTAATCATTCTGATGAAGAGAGAGATATTGTGCCAATAACTTTATAAAAAAATTGGTGGTGGTTTTATGTTATTTTTTATATTATTTTGCCTACCCTTAATCTACATATACAACTAAGGGGAAGTCGTGGCCTAATGGTTAGAGAGTCGGACTTGTAATCCAGAGATTGCGGGTTTGAGTCTCGTACCGGCAGGGATTGTAGGTGGGGGGAGTGAATGTACAGCTCTCTCTCCCACCTTCAATACCACGACTGAGGTGCCCTTGAGCAAGGCACCGAATCCCCAACTGCTCCCCGGGCACCGCAGCAAAAATGGCTGCCCACTGCTCCGGGTGTGTGTTCACTGCTGTGTGTGTGCACTTAGGATGGGATAAATGCAGAGCACTAATTCCGAGTATCACCATACTTGGCCACATGTCAAAAAAAAATAAAATAAACTAGTGTTTCTTGTATTTTGTTTTTGACAATACATTATTCGAGGTAGTTAATATTTACTTGTCCAGAGGCATGTATTGTTTTTTGAGTGCTTTACTTTGTGGTGGATATTTTTAATATACAGAATAGCCCACCAATAACATGTTTGTGTTATTGGTGGTCTTTCTGGTTATTTACGGTCTATTCATGTTGTTTTGTTTTTTACAAGGAAAAAAAAACTTAACGAAGGTTTAGAAACATCTTGATATATTTTATTGCAGACAAAAGCATGGACCAATTTAAATGCTGTTTTAAAAAAAAAAGATTTTTGTACAGGGTAAGTACATTTATGAGAATTTGGCCACCCAGTCAATAATCATATAGATCATGCAGTTTACAGTAACATAATAACTTGGCTGAAGAGATTCGGAAGTAGGTTCTACTGTATGTTCATCAAAAGTATTTTATCTTAAAATAATATTTTATTAATTATTTCTGACCGTCTTATATTTGTCAATCAATGCATGTTATACGTTATGAAACACAGAGAGATATTCAAAACTGGCCAAAACAAAAACTTCGTGAGATATCTGAAATATGATAAATGTCTTAAAGGGGTCATATGATGCTTTTTTAAAGATTATTATTTTGTGTATCATTGGACTAATGCAAACAGTTTCTGTCACGTGATCTGCCTTTCGTTGCCTACCAATGATATTTGCAAACAAGTTGTTACCTTGGCAACCGGTTCCCAGTAGTCTGGTGTCCTGTACGGAGAAAATCCTACATTATTGCTTGCCACTAATAATGGCGTTACCAATGTTGCCTGCAAACTCAGTCAATAGAAATGTAAGTGATATTAAAATTATTTGTATAAATGTTTTGTCTGTGTTGAGGGAAAATAGCTTTCTGTGAAAAAGAGCTGTTTAAGTATTGCTTGCTGTGTTACTATCTGGAGCAGTTTGCTCATATTTACTTAAACTGAAAATAATTAAAGTGTGTGTGTGTGTGTAGAATATATATACTATACTGTTTAGTTAGTTAGTTAGTTAGTCACTATTGACTAAAATGTTGAAAGTGGTGCCAAATTCACAACCTGCAGTGAAGTTCATTCTATTTTTCAACTACTAATTACTGATGAAGAAACCAAAAAACACATAACATGGAGTAGAAACGACAGAGCAAGTTAAATTGATAGAAATGCTGTCATAACAAAACTATGAAAACATTTTAGTGTCCATTTTATTTTCTATCCATTATTTTCCAGATTGGAAAAGACAAATTTCACAAATCTCAGCATTTTGATTATTCAAATGGAGTAGCCATGATGGTTGGGGCAGAGAAGCCGGGCGCTGGAGGAGAACTTCTCCTGGGGCAGAGCGCAAGACCCAAGTATTCACTTTTTCCAAAGGGAGAGGGCAGTGATGCTCCGGCATGGGTTGCTTTTGACAAACAGGTTGGTCATTATTCTAAGGGAACATAATATACCTTTTTTTTTTTACCTAGTGCTGTGCAAAGTATATTCATTTTCCTCACTATTTTCTTACCTGAAGGTCCTGTGTTTTGATGCTTATTTCCAGGAAACTACCTCAGAGAAGGGAAAAATATATAGAGTGCAAAAGTGCAAGATTTACTTCTATCTGGAGGATGACACCATACAAGTAGTGGAGCCAGAACTCAAAAACAGTGGAATCCCACAGGGTAAACTATTAAAATCAAATGTATAGCATCCTAAATAATGACAATGACTGTTTAAATGCAGCTGGTCTCCTCCTATGTAGGAACCCTGATTCGGAGGCACCGCATTCCTCTCCCAGCTCCTAAAGATGATTGCTTCTACAATGTGCACCATTTTAACATCAATCAGGAAATAGTA